AAGTTATTAAAGTGAGGCTGCTCCACTGATGCCTCATATCACTTGTAGTAGTTTGAGAAGAGGGTACAGATGTTTGATGTGGCAACACCAAGAAGTGTACTGCCTGTCCTGATTTGTTAAATATGTGTCACAGATGATTTTTCTTTACAGATCTGTATTAATTTCTGTCCTAAGCCTTAGTAATTGATAGCCTGCCTAGAGAACAGGGTGGGGAAAGGAGAAAAGAAACCAGTGGAAAGTCAGACGTGGTGTGCAAACCCATGTAGGGAACCCGTTTTTTCCTCTTGGCATTTATAATTGTACCATCACCTTGAGCTGGTATTTGTAGAGCTGTCTCCTCAGAGAGAAGGGGTTTCTCCTGTTAGAGATGTAGGTGTGCACACGGAAAGCAGCAGGGAACCCTGTCTGGTTTTTTAGTAGGTGGGACTATATGATGCGTTGTTCATGTAAATATTTTATCATTTCCTGTCTCTGGGACCCTAGGTCCACATTCCCCACCAAATTCAGCCACCCTGAATGTGTCTTGCAGAAGGACTTGTCCATTGCAGAGGAATGGGAGAAGCAGTACTAGCTGCTCCTGGTAAAGCTGTGACAGTGCTTTATTTCACTTGGGAGAAGGAGGGGGCTCATAGCCTGGGAGAAACTGTCTCAGCAGAAGCTGCTGCAAATTGGTTATTTAATAACAAACAAGCACAGTGCCTGCTTTTTTATTATTTTTATGCCTGTGGAACTCACACAGAATTGGTGTGGTGAGATTACTGCCTAAGGCTTCCCCCAAAGAGCTGCAAGAACAGGAGGCCATGGGACTCATGCTGGTTCTGTTGCATGTCTTGATGAAGCTTTAAAATGCTTGAAATTGTCTTTGAAATGAAATATTCCATAGCTGCAATTTAACTCCAGACTTTGTAGTAATTGCTTGGCCAAATAAAGGAAAATTGTGAGGAACAAAAAATAGTTAGATTGATGGCTAGAAGAAAAAGTTTAAATAAAAAATTCATGAAGAAGAGAAAAAAAATATAGCATCATAGGCTTTTGCACCAAGATTTCCCTTCCAATGTCTTTTCTTGTCCAACTATTACTGTGCATTTTATTCTCCCTGTTTGCTACAAATGTTAGAAAAACTTTTTCTGCAGGAATGATATTGAAAATTGTCACAAATTTAGGCAGAATTTGGAACATGGAGTAAAATTTTAAAAGGGGTATGCATTTCACTGCCATTCTGAGTGGGGGTATGGTGAACTGTAAATTATTGATGAGTTGCCTGGAATTGCCTTTTTAAACTCTTAAATAAAATGTGACTAAAGAGAAAAATCTCAGAATTGAGAATAGAAGACTGTTGTTCATAATTGTCAGCCCAACTTGTACAGCTACAGCTCTTCCTCATTCCAATTTACTGCTCTTAGTGGCCTTTAGTAACAGAATGAATAATACGCTGTGAATAAATCCTCTCATGGTTACCCTTTCTCTCCTTTTGTAGATTAAGACCAGCAAATCATCATTTGTGGACATATATTAATGTCCAAAAGTGTCTGAAAAATGTGCAGTTGTTTGTTTTGAGCAAATTATTTTTGAAGTATCAGTACGCCCTCAGGTTTTGTGTTCCTGCGATGACATGAGAAAGTATTCTGGAATGAGTTTAAATTACAGGGCATTTAGGAAGAAAATGCAGAAGATATTTACAGTGAACAGTAGGACTTCAGGGAAATACCTACAAGCTAGTTCAGGCATATTTTAAAGTATGAATACTATTGTTAAGTCTTTAGGTGATGTCTGGTAATAGATATTTAATCTTGCAAAAGCACTTTCATTGCTTACTTGTTAAAGTAATTTAACGGATGAGTAGTGCTATTAATGGACCACATGTATAATCCAGATTTTTTTTGTTCAAAACATTCCTCTAGGGTTTAAATTTCTAAACATGTTCAGAAGCAATTTGAAGAAATTTAGCCTGTACACAAGCTGTAGAAAACATAATTTATTAACTTTTCTTCATAGCATTTCTTCTGCATTTAGAGGATAAAAGAAATCACTATGTATACATATGTGCAACTTTAAGTGGGCTGAGTGATATACCTTGTTTTGATGGGGTTGTTAGAAACCAGACTGTGAATGGAAGGACATGGAGATAGAGATGAACAAAGGGCTTGAAACTAATTGTAAGTTATCTGAGCAAACGTACAGTTCCAGACTTTCCATCACTGTTTGGTTTGTTGTAGGTTTTGGTTGGTTTTTTTTTTGGTTTTTTTTGGTTTTTTTTGAGAGAGAATTGCATTAGTAATGTCTGTAACATAGTTCTTGCAAGAAAATAAGAAAAAAAAGCAAGAAACTGGCATTATAGTAAAACCAGTCTTTCCTCCCATCCCAACACTTTGGGATGCTGGAAGAATTGATACCTGGAAGGCAGATTATCAAGTAATAAAAATAAATATAAAAGTTGTTTGCTAAACACCAGTTATTATGATAAAGTCACATTCCTTTGAACAATTAGAGACGTTTATTGATAATATTGCGCTTTTGCTTCAACTAGGAATTCATTTCTTTTCCGAACACATGGCTGTGTTTTGCTGAAACTCAGATATCACCTACACAGAGGAGGAAATTAGGGAAATAATCTGGTGTAAACATCTCTTTGACTTGGTGAGGATCACTGCACAGTCACATAGTTCAATAAAGAACGAAAATGTGTTTGTTGACTCCAAGTTCAGCTGTTTCCAAACAAATGTTTGTGAAACCTCCAACTTTAATAGCCTCATTGTACCATCCAAAAGACGTGCAAGAGAATGAATGGATGACCTTTCAGATAGAGAACAAGCTGTTCACCATGTCTTTCCATTTACTGAGACAAAATACTCTTTTTATGCAGAGATAATACTTTCCACCATTTTTAACAATGTTGGGTAGAATAAAGAGTTTAATTGTTTTGCTTCTGAGTGCAAGGGGTTTAACCTATGCCTCCTTAGATCAGGACTCTTTCTGGACCAGCAGTGTTAAATCCATCAAGTGAGATAGACTTATTTTAATTTTTTTTAAAGACTCTGGAGGTATTTTGAGTCCCATGCTCACAGGGTGGGATGTCATTAGCTATCCATCCATGTTTATCCACGTGACATCTGTCTTTGAATGATACATGGGTGAATTGTCATTGCCATTGTGCACTGCAGCTATGGGATCAATAATTTACTGATAAAGTCCAAAGCAGCTGTAACAAAAATTGGTCTAAATTATTGTGAAATTGCATTCTTGCTGTGGAAAGCTGCTGGGATGCTCTCAGTTGCACTCTTCTACAAAAGCACTAGCTTGGACTGGAACAGATCACAAACAAATAGGGAGAAAATCAGGACATGGAAATCGGGGCTCAGCCTTGTCTTTCTCATGTGAGGTGTGATTTGGCCCTTAGTGTTTGCAGTTGTAAACTCACCACTTAAATCACAGTATAATGCTAACTAATACCAGCTAGTTATACTGGTAAAATATTTTTGCTCTACAGTATAACTGAAATCACATCTTTTATGGTTCAGCCTCTGTCCATGTTACTGTTCTTATCTGAAAAAAAACCAGAGCTGTTCTCTTGTTAAAGGAAACACAGTGTATTTGCTGAAATTAAAAGAAGTACAGGAATTCAAAAGGAATCCCTCAAAACTTAAGGAAAATTTTACCATTTGGAAACACCCCCCCCCCCCAAAAAAAAAAAAAAAAGCCATTGGAAGGAACAAAAACTTTTTTTTTTTTTTTTTTTTTTTTTTTGTGGTTACAAAGACCAATTACATTGTCTGTTTGCAATAAAGTTTTTGTTGTCTGAACCAAATACTCTAGATCATGCATCGTGCATGAGTAGTTTACTAAAATTTGAATCAAATTTGTTTAAAAATTTTGTAATAATTCCATTTGGATGGGAGCTGTGAAACCATCAGGTCCAGCCTCTGCTGGAAGCAGCTTCAGTTAGACCAGGATGCTCAGAGCTTTGCAAAGGCAAGCCCTACATATAGTGATGTTGGAGACTGTGCAGGTAACTTGTCATGTTTGGCCTCCTCACAGGAGGAAAGTTAAAAATAAGTATCTTAATCTGGACAAATGTTCTTTTGTTGCCAGCTCTGATGGTTGCCCCATATAATTTTGTAGCACACCTGCACCGGTCTTATCTCCATTCTACCACTGGGTTTTTGAAGACACCATGAGATTACCTTGAGCTCTGTCACCCAAGAGCAAACCCAGTGCTTTCACCCCAGTGATGTGTGCAGTAAAGGTTTGGAAAAATCCTAAAAATAGTGTGACATGGGAATGAAGAATGAAAAAGTTACACTGAAATCTGAAACTGTCCATTTGTCCTGACAACCTGAGGTGCTACAGCTTCAGTCTGTAGGGATGGTCTGTTAGCAAGTACCTTCAGCCTGGTTTTGTAACACTGATAGAAATCAGGAGGAGAAAAATTCTTCATTAATACAATTGAACAAACCTTAGAGAAAACTTCTCAGCACTTACAATGATGCCCACAAGACTAACCAACCATCTAGAGACTTGAATGTATTTATTCTGTGGTTTTCTCAACTACTGTGCATAGATGTTAATCACAGTTCATGGCAATCCGAGTTTTTTTCTCTTATTACTAAATGCTATTCTTCTGAATTTCCAGAACAAGCTAATATGTGGAAAGGCTGCTTTGTGTGCAGCTGAGCTAACCAGGACGGCAGTGTTTGTTATAAGAACCAGTTTCTTACTGGTTCCTGAACTATGATGAATTATTTTGTACCTATTTTGTTCCTGTTGGTGCTTTGGGGGCTGAGGATGTATTTGTTAAGTAAAGGAACTGATCTCTGCAGTGGCAACACATTGTTAACTTTTTGAAACTTAAACCTTTATGTATTCTGTATTCTTTGGACTTTTTTTTTTTTTAAAGTTGGGGGTCCTGTTCCTGCCATGCACAGTAACAGTAGATACTTTCTTCCTGCTCTTGCTAATGTATTGTACCTTGGGCTTTTTTTTTTTTTTGTCTTCCTCTGCAGAAACTCTCCTGGATGATTTCCTTCTCACATACACGGTTTTCATGACGACTGATGACTTGTGCCAGGCCCTTCTGAGGCAATATCCTTTTACTGAAAGTTGTATTCACGGGGGTCACACATTTATTCATGGTTTTATCTAATGTTGAGCCTTATATCAAAGTTACATGCCTGGTTTTGAGACAAATGCCTAACTCGTAGCAACAATGCAATTTTTTGTCAGCTTTGTTTGAAGATAAATAAACTTTTATAACAGTGACAAGGTAGAATTTAAATTGGGGTTAAAACCTCCCCAGGTTATGTTAATTCATAGAATACCTGTATGTGCATAATACATTACAGAATACACAAGGAGAAAAAAGTAAAGAATTTTACAGTCTCTTCTCCTTTTGTCATGTAATACAGGATATAAGTCTTAACTCATTGTGAGATAAAATAATTATTTTCATGTATTTCTAATGACTTGGATGGGCTACAAAGCTGTGGATCAATGTTTGAATAAACTTGTGACTATAAAATGAACCTTTTGTTCATTTGTTTGTTTGCTTGGTTTAAAATCTTCTCCCCATCTTTAAATTTTGTGCTGAAACCATTTTTTCCCTTATAAGACAAAGAACCATGAAGAGACAGGAGCAAGTGTGCAAAGTGGGTATCATCTGACATTTGGTGCTTCTGCCTTATGGATAGAGAGAAATACTAGAAATAATCTTTCTCTTTTTTTTTTTTTAATTTTAATAGAGTCACTTCTGCAGACAGTATAATTTGTGCAGACAAAAATAAACTGACTTCCTTTGCCTGTTTTTTGTGTTATTATGCTTTGCCCTTCTTCCCACAGACATTCACATTGGCATCAGTGTGCAGGGCAAAAGTTCATTCTCAGTTCTGCAGAAAATATATGACTGAACATTGTATAATTCCCTTTGAATTGATTTTACTTTTATAGACTCACCTCTCTAATCTGTAAGGGAAAAAAAATCCTCTTGGCACAGAGGATGAATTGAAATTCCTATTACTGAGAATTTCATTCCCAAAAGTTACGAAACTCCTAAAGCTCCAGACAGGATGAAACATTTAAAACTGAGCAATGCAGTGAAAAAAAACCAAACCTTTCATTAGCAAATTAGATTATTGAAAAGTCTTTGCCAGCAGTTAATTTTAAAGTTTCTTTGAGATCTTATTAAATGTTCCTTAACCTGCTGCACCTATTGTGCTAAGAACCACCAAGGGAAAGAAGACGACTCTGATGTGTCCTGTAGGAAAAGAAAAGTCTTGCATTTGGTGTCTCAGTGGACTTCTCTCTACAAAGACTGGTTACACGAAGATGAGCATTTGAAACAATTTTTAAAGGTATTGAAACAATTTCTGTGATGCATTTGAGCACTGTTTAATTGCATACGGTGTCTAAAATGCACTGACAGCAAAATCTATAAAACATAATTTTTCATACTTAGATCTTATCCATGAAATCTATAATATAAAATGATTTGCATGTGTATTTTTGAAATGCCTTAAATATACTTAGTTTGAACAGAAATCCTGTATTGTCAATATAGTCAACATTAAAAGCTTTAACATATGAAACTTCTGGAACTCTCGTGGTCACTAGAAAATGTGAAAAGTTAGGAAGATAAGAAATAAAACTACAAAGATCTGGAGGTTCCTTGGACACAATCATGTCTGTCAGAATAGGGTCTGTAGTCAGTATCCAGAGGATCATGGACATAGAGAGCTTTGAGGTGTCTGTAACAGATGCTACTTTGACTGAGGAGTGAAATCCTATTCCATGGTGTTTTCTGGGTGGACATGGAGAGCAGCATAGCTTTATGTATTTTTGATAAATAAAATTTTGTTCCTTACTTGTTAGCAAAGTTCTTATCATATTTCTGTATGAGTTCCAACAGCTCTTAATTAATTAAGCCCTTGTTGAGTTGAAAATAGTGCTGTTGTTGTGAACCTAAAATCAGTCTGGTGGCTGATTTTTTTTTCAATATGTATTTTTTCCCCACTGGTTGAAAGATGAGAGTATTTTAGGACACTTTGCAGTATCTTCCACTTTTACTGATGAGGTTCCTTGTCTGCAACTGGAGATCTTCTTAAGGGTCTTTTATCTTTTCAGTCACTTGCTCAAGACTAAGGCAATGTGGAGAAAATCTTGAGATTCCTTTTTTTGTTTGTTTGTTTTGTTTGGGTGGGGGTTTTTTTTTTGTTTTTTTTTTTTTTTTAAAGTAGGACAGTTTTTTTTGTTTTTTGTTTTTTTTTTAAAGTAGGACGCTCTGCATATGGAAGCAGAGATCTTAGGATTTTTGCTTTTTGGTACTAGGTGTGTATTGCTGTACTAGAAAGGGGATATAATTTCAGGCATCAGTTATGTTACACAGAGTTGCACCTGTGTGGATGCAGGGCTTTCTGGCCATGGAGGTGTGTGACTGTGAACTGTCTCACAATTCCTCTTCTGGAAGCTCATGTGCAGTATTAAACAGCAATAATGTTAATGATGGTTGTAGTTACATGTGCAAAGCCAACATAAGGGTCTTAGGCTAAAATCATTAATGCAGAAATCTATGAATGTGGGGGCTAAAGCAAACCTGGTGACTCAGCTCATGCATGTGATCCTCATTTCCTTAGAAGGGAAAGGGAAGGATTCTACATGCAGGTGTGGAAAAAGTGTAGAGAAAATTATTCCTAGAATTTCAGTCATGACAATGTCTTCCCCCAAAATTAAAAGCAAGGTTTATTTATGTATTAGTTTATAGCTAGGGAGAGTTGTGGGAGTTTGTGGAAGACATCAACTCAGTTTAAAATGCATGCAAATGTGAGGAAAGGTAAAGTAGAATATTTGCCATTTTAAGTCTTAATCTGATGAACCTATTTGTTATCATTTTGGATAAGTGGTGATGGTGTGGTGTGCTGTCATGCTTCAGAATGTGTTATGCTGACCTAACCTAAGTTTTCATGTAATAGCCACAAGAGGTGTTTTAAATTTTCCTGTTTATAGACAAAATAATACAAGCATTTTGCCCTCTTGCTTGGTACCCAGTACTAAGTAAGAGTGTTTTTCCAAAGAATATTGAATATTGACCAGTCTGTAAATTTTAAACAGGAGCATTCTCTCCTTACAGGTTTTGCATAAATATAATGATAAAACTTGTTTTATGCCTGAATTAACTTAGACCACTGATGTGAAGCCTTAGATTAATGTTTGAGTTGTCAGATGTTTTAAGATAGTGCTTTGTTTTGTAGACGATATACAGAAATGTGTTAGATGATGTGTATGAGTATCCTGTTCTTGAGAAGGACCTGAAAGAATTCCAGAAGATACTTGGGATGCATCGCCGTCAGTAAGTATTGATTGTATTAGTGATCAAGTCTTCTTTTATTCAGAGTGTAATTTATTTTCGTTGCTATCTTTCTGTAATTCATTAAAGTGATGAGTGGATACAAGTGGCATATTCAGTTTTACAAATCATCTCTTCTTAACACTAAGGCTATATTATTCCATTTTTTTGTTGTTTGTTGGGCAGTCTTTGTGATTCAAATTCACTCCCATCAATTTCATTTGGGATTACTCACAGATAGAGCAGTAGTTTGTGGAGAAGCTGGCAAAAATTCGCTCAGAAGTTGCAGTCTGTGGCTTCAGGTGGTTCCTTCATTCTCTCTGCAGTACTGAGAAGCAAATCACTTGGAATAGTCATCTCAGAGCTATTATTTTACTAATAATTATTGCATCTATAAAAGATATTTAAGTGGCATGTTTTTCCAACAAATGGAAATGGTTTGGCCATTGGGATAGTGGAAGGACCTGTGCCCTGGAGGCTGACCCTGACTGCTGTGTTTGCCTGCTCCAGCAGCTCATGGGCTGCCAGCATTTCTTTTCACTACATCGATTATGCAAGTCAGAGAAAGGTTCTCTGGCTGAGCCAGATGCCTTTAGTTTTTCCTGAAGAGCCTCTGCAGCCTTTTTGCAGTGACCATTTACTGTTAAAAACTTTCTGATGTTGTAAAGTTTGCTATAGCTAAAACTTCCTTTTCCTAAGTTTTGGCTGGAAAGAATAATTGTGATTTTCCTTTTTGTTTCAGCACTGTAGATGAGTATTCACCTCATCGAAAGGTAATGCCAGCTTGATTGTTGCTGATAGCTAGATAACTTACCATCTCACTTTTTTTTCCCCTTCTCCCCACTTCTTTCTCTTTTCTTGGCTTCTTAACTGAACGTGACTGGTGAACAGAAACATGACAGGACACATCAGTGAGGTTAGACCTGCAATGCTGCTTAAGGAACATTTTTTTTCCTTGGAGTGCATCCGGATATTAGCAGTGTGAGCTAACCTGCAGTGGTTGTGACAGTATTAGCATGTTAACAAGATGCTTTGAGATGTCAAAATTCAGGAGAGACCTGGGAGGGTGTCCCGAGCAAACTGGGCTAAACACAGACATTGACATGGATGTCAAGTAAACAGAGCAAAGGGCAGATTTGTTGTGACAGGGACAGACAAAAAGAGAGGAAGGAACATGAATCTGTCTGACTGGAGGGAGAAGTTGCAGCCTGAGGAAAGCTGGTGTACAAACTGCTCAGAGGTGAATTGCTGTGCTTGCCAGTTTTACTGGGCTGAAGCTGAAGTGTGTAATAAGCTTTAAATGTTCCTGCAAAAATGTGGAAGGCAGAACATGAGATTGCAGTGAAATTGCTAAATAGGCTGATTGCTACATAGGAAATATATATAAGTGTATAAGAAATGGGCTCTGAACATGAATACAGAAAACCTTGAATTGTGCAGGCTGCTTAGCCTTGGCATGGTCTGCTTCCTCCAAAATCCCCACATTGGCCATTATTTAGAAAGGCAACTCCCAGTTTACTGCTCCAAGAAAGGGTGGGTGTACTTCCTATACAGAAACCTTTTGGCCAGACATATGGGTTAAATGCTGTATTTTGTGAATTACTGCTTTGTAAACAGCAAGGATGTAAAAAAAAACACTGTTGTTTTTTCTTTCCTTTGTTTCTTTTCCACTCCCTCACAGAACAAAACCTTTTTCCACCAGTTCAGTGTAAAGGAGAACTGGCTGCAGCACAGAGGAACCGTGAATGAAACAGAAGAAAGTGAGTATAAATGAAAGAGTGGAGGAAAAGCTCAAAAGCTATAAAATGGTTTCTCAAGGACTTCAATGTAAAAATTCTTTAGCTGACATACAGCTTTTGAACAAGACCTTAGGGACACAAAAGAAGAAATATTTGGCAAGTTTTCCTTCCTTCCTCCTGGTTTACAGTGCTCAGCAGTGCCATGGTATCTCAAGGGGTTTTTGCCCTGTTCGGTTCCTCCAGCACCCCTGTGGCAGTCGTGTGTGTGTCCCAGGTGTGCTGGCAGCCTGTCCACCAGGCATTACTTCTGCTCCAGCTCATGCTCTTGGGCTCTTGACCTATATCTTGGTTGTGAAAGGTGAATGAATAGGCCTGTCACATGAAATGGGCCAGGATCTGCTAGCTCTGGGAATGTGCCTTAGCTCCTTCTCTGCTCAAAAACATCTCTGCATGGAGTGCGAGGTGCCACTTCACTTTAATGCCAGCCATTTCAAAATGCAATTCCCTGCATCACTATTAGTAAGGCAGTGAGGCTGTCAGCCTCCTGCAATGCCTGAGTGAGGAAGGAGGCAGAGAGGAGAACGCTGTGTACGCAAACCGGGAATGGCAGAAGGACCTCCTGCCTTGCAGCCTCGCTCTTTGACTGTAGATCTTCATTTCTTACTGGGAAAAAGACTCCTGAAGTTCACTGGAAGTCAGGATATTTTTAGTGCTCATTTGTGACAGAATAAAAACTGAGCTTGTTCTATGCCAAGTCGAAAGACTTGCACAGTATGTGCTGCTGGTAGGTGATCCTCTTTTTGTGCTTCAAATATAGGGGGTTTTGAGGTTTATGTTACCAAGGCTTCTTCTAAAAATGTTATTTGTGGATGAGAGCCCCCACATTTATTATTCTTTTGAAGCTGGACACAGCTTGTGGGTGACTGGAAAGTGTACTGGTGCAAGAAAGTGGACTGGAAAGTGTACTGGTAGGTCAGCAACCAGGACAGGACCCAGCAAGGCCAGTCCTGACTGAGTTAAATTGCTTTTGTCTCACTCCTTGAGAGCAGGAGCCATGCACTATGATGAGATTGAAGGAATGAAATAGCCAGAGTGAAACTGGAGAAGGGAGAGACAGATGCAGAGGGTGGACATCTAACCCTGTGTAGTGGAGTGCTGTCTGACTGATGATAGCTGCTCTATGCCGCTATGCCCCTTGACCAGAGGTGTTTTATCCTCTGTTGCAGTCATTACCTTGCAGCCCATGGCCACTTCCTCCCTCTGCCCCTTGACCAGAGGTGTTTTATCCTCTGTTGCAGTCATTACCAGGGCAGCTTGCAGCCCATGGCCACTTCCTCCCTGTGGCATTCCCTCCTTCTGACAGAGGAGCAGCACAGGCTCCTGGAAGAGATGATGTGGTCCATCCCAAGAGATACCACAGATAGAATGTTGGAAGGGTGTGAGGGGGAGAATCACTATGGTGGTTGTGCATGAGCATCTGAATGTGGGTTGATTTAGTTCAGTGTTAAAGAAGAATAAATCAATAGCCCATTTATAAAATGACATTGCTGTTATTGACCCTTCCAAACGACAGAGAGGACATTTCAAACAAACTTACTGTAAGCAAGGTGTGTCAGTTTGTATATGGAGTCCAAATATTCATATCAGATTTTTTTTTAATTTATTTTTCTACCTTGTAATTTAAAGTGCAGTTGGATGTCTCTGTCTTCATGATGTGTATCCATTCTGAAAAAATACTGTGCCATAGAATGAGCATCTCATTTACTCTCTGTCAGCAGAGACAGGTTAAAAAGGAATTATAAAATCAAATGGCGTTTTTCCCCCAATACTTGACATTAAGTCCCTCCTTTGTTCTCATATTCATTTTTTCTTTACTACAACAGGAAAAAACCCTGTTCTCAAGAACAGTGTTCTTAACTGCTTCTGGCATAGTCTTCACTAATGAAAGTGCCCTGAAGCCATGAAGATCTGTAGGACAAGCAAAGAGCTATTGCTACATACATCCGCCAATAAAGATAATAAAAAAATACAAGAGTTCTGGAGAAGAGAAGTTGTCCTGTGTTGGCATGGTAGCAGCCTGTCTAGAGTAAGAAGTGCTAGAGGAGAAGGAAATTGAAAGTTTAATTGAGCACTGAAATGAGTGTGAAACTAAGAGCTGTGACGATTCTGATTAGCAGATGTAATTTTCAAAATATTTATGCAAGTCTGCAGCTCAGTTTCTTCTGCTTAAGTGTGGCAGCCGTGTTTCAAAGAACTAGCTAGGGCAAACTCTGCAAAAGATGTAAACCTAAAATTTAGTTCTGGCAGGCAGAGAGAGTGTACATCCCTTTTTGTAGTAGAAAAAAGTAATCGCAGAGCTGGCCATGGCATTCCCAGAGCTGAACCAGCTCTTGGACCTCAGTGGAACAGTGAGCCCAGGGAGTTTCTCCAAACCAGTCCCATTTATATGTGCTGCTTGTGATTCAGGAAATGAGTTGTCAGAACTAATTGGATGGCAGTTTGGGCAGTCTCTGCTGGTGCTGAAATACTCTGGCAAGTAGTTTAGATGTCTAGACAGATAAGCTGTCAGGAGTGGTTGAAAACCTGGGAGCACTGTTCTCGCAAAGCTTCCTGTTCCAGGTAGAAATGGAGGTCCAAAATAATTTCTGCAGCAAACATGAAGTATACTGAAAGGGCAGTGATTTATCTGAACCTAAAAGAAAGGGAGAAAAAATGGCAACAGCTGAGTTTCGGAGAAGACAGGCAGTGAAGGAAGTTGTTTGTGACAAATCCTCAGGGTAGGAAATCTTAAATAGGTATTGCTGTGGGAGTCTGTGTTTCCATTTGCCTGCCTCTCTCATTTCTCAGGGACAGGAAGTGGGGAGGGGGAAAATGATGAAGTTTATGCTCAGTTTCATGTCCTTTGTGTCAGGGTGCAGTGACTGCCCTTCCTACAGCAGCCAGGCAGCTGAGGCATTGCTGTGGTGGGGTCTGCAAGTTTGTTCTTTGCTCTGTTCAGGTCTCTCTGCCTAGAGCTGAGCATGCCTTTGTTCCTTTGTGCAGTTTTCTGCCGTGTGTATATAACGGAGCACTCCTATGTCAGTGTGAAAGCTCAAGTGTCCACTTCAGCTCAGGAGATTCTGAAGATTGTGGCAGAAAAGATCCAGTACCCGGAGGAGGAGTTGGCGCTGGTGACAGTCTCATTCTCTGGTGGTAAGTAACTTCCCTCCATCTGATTACTTACCTTTTATTGCTTCAGGTAAGGAAGGGCTGGCATTTTCTGATGCAAGGATACAGCTGTTCCTCTATGGGCCCACAGCTGGATGACCAGGGGAACAATGAGGAGCTGCTTCCCAGAGACTTGTTTCCATGGCAACAGTTCTTTCTTGGGTACTGTGGGATGTAGCATCTCCTGGCTGGGAAGAGAGTGTAAAGAACTCTCAATCTCCAGCAGTATTGCAAGGTTTTATTTCTTTTTCACAGATGAATCTCCTATTTTGGAATTTAAATTAATTTTGAAGGAAATGAGGCATGGTTTGCCTTGAAAATAGAGATGGGAATAGCAAATACTATATGCATGGCTGTCTCCTCATTTATGGCATAGGCAACAAATATTCTTGAGCTGAAAGGAGGAAAAAATGTATTTGCACAATTGAGATACTGGTAGCAATCTCAGCAATATTTTGTAGGCAGCAACTGACATATTTTGCCTATTGTTTTAGTGTTAATGATTAAAAAGAAAAGGCTTATTTCTTTTTTAAGAATGACTATAGTGATTGTGGAGTGTTACTAGGGACCAGCCAAAGTCCCAAGATCTTCTTTGGTCTTTGGCAGGTCTCAAGTTCCTTGGTCAGGTTGTTTTGGTCATTGTGATGTTTTTTGGAAGTAATTTAATTAGGTACATAGAGCTGTGAAGCTGTATGTACAAAAGGACTAAGAGTGTAGAATATCTAGGCAATATTCTCAGATAACATTAGTTGGTGTTGATCCCCTAAGACAAAGGATGCGTCTTTTAAATTACACACTCATTGCTACTTCTTTGTCAATCTAGTTAGATGAAATACACACAGATGCTGGTTTGTTCTGTTTATATCTTTGATTCAGAACTGGAAGGTCACATTTTTTCCCCCATGCTAAGCTCAATTAAATAGGTTTATTTTTCAGTGCGCTGGTGTGGGTGTCAGGGAGATGGTGCCCTGCTCTGGTTGTTGAGATCCTGGGCACGGAGCAGCCATTGGGAACATTACACATGGGTGTCCTGGCCATCAGGCTAAATCATTTTCAGGCATACTCTTTTTACTCTTTTTGGTATGCCCAAACTCACCTCCAGTGCATTTCACAGCACTGCAAAATCACTTTGCTGCTGTTGTTTTTCAGGTCTTTCTCTCCTGTTCAAGAGCAGGTCAAGTTTTGCTCTGATAGCAATAAATCTGGTTCTAACTGCCTGCTTAGCTAAAGAAAACCAACCATTCATAAATAATGAAACAGACTATATTGGTTCCCAGGAAAGCCACAAAATAGAAGTGGTTGCCACTTGGTTGTTCAATGAGAAACAGTAAATAAAATGCAGGTATAGTAGGAAAGCCATTTGTATGTGACCTTTATAACCCCTAAAATGTTATTTAGTTACATTGCCTGAGTTAATTTGAAATACAACAATACCAGTATCTTTCTTCTTATGGATCCTGTACTGCAAGTAATAAACACCAGCCTGCTATGTTTTTTTTTCTGCTTTGTGTTTTTGCTATTTGTGTGACTTAGAACTCTTGTCTTTCATCTGCTTGGAGGGCAGCAGTATAAGCACTGGAGAACCTGTTCTTATTGTACTCCAATAATGGATAAGCAAGCTCTTTATTCAAAATTACCTTGAAAAAACCATAATTATAGTTCAGCTAATGTATCTGTGCATCAATGGATAAGTGAGCATGGATAAAAAGGAAAACTGTCTGAAATTATATTTGGCTCTCAGCCTTCTCCTGGTCCTACTCCTCATGGGCAATGCAGAGTCCAGGGTAACTGTCAGTGTTCTTGGTGTAGTTTTGGGTCTACCATGTATCTGGTCTCCAGAGTATACTTGGAGCCCTCAGGAGTTTTTGCAAGGCAGTTTTTAAGCTGTATTTGTAGTTTTGTGTTATTTCCCTAGTTAATTCAAGATTCCCCAGCGCTGAACCAGTGCTCTGGACTGGAAGGAAAAAAGTCCTTACCCTTTGCTACCAGTGTCCTGCTGTTTTACTCAGATATTTCCTAAATTATTTGCTCTAAGTTTAGAAGAATTACTGTAAATACTGTGTTACTGCTCTGTGGGGTGAATTTCATGGTGATGAGATCCTTTAAACTTCTTTTCCTCTTCAGTGGCTGTGGCTACTGGTTTAATGTCCACCCCTGGTTTTGTCTCCAGTGACACACAGCAGCTCCGTCTCTTGGGGCTGAGACACTCTGCTCTAACAAAATTCACTACATTTATACTAGATACACTGGGTTGAAATTAAATGTTCTATAAGCCATGGGAGGCTAGACCAGATGATTTCAGGGATTCTTTCTGTTCTATGTGAAGTGCAGTTTGAAAAGCAGAAGCAGGAAGCTTCTGTGCTGTAGTCTATCAGAGATACCTTGCCTTTATCAGGCCTGAGCAAGATGATGAGGTGGAGATGATTGGTCCCTACAGAGACTGAATTTGATGCCTAGTTACCTTCTCAGAAGTTGATGTGGCTTCACAAATACAATTGTATCTTTATTTCTCATATACAGCTTTTACTCCTGTTCTGAAACTTCTGGTTTTTTGCTGTTTTTACAGAAAAACATGAGCTACAACCAAATGATTTGGCTATCTCAAAATCTTTGGAGTCATCCAGTCGTATGTTTGTATACCGAAAAGATCTGACTGATTCTTTGGTAAGGATTGGTATTGCATATTTCCCATTTTTCATTTGTCTGACTCCAAATCAAAACCTTAGTATTCTGCTCCAAGGGCTTTTTCAATGCAGAATTTATTTTTTGCTTCCTTAATAAAGCTTACTGAGCTGCTCTATTCCTTAAAAAAACCCCAAACTTTTATTAACAGCAGTTATTTGACCGAACAGTAATGGAATTTGTTCATCAACTTTAAATAAACCAAAGCTTCTGTGCAGCTTAAATCTTGCAATCTACATCAGCCTGGAAAAACTGACCTGTGTTTGTACCAGAATAGATGGGATGAGGATTATTCAGGGCTTTTGTGACTCTTTCCTCCCCGCCCTGCCTTGTGCCTCTGTAGCACTTTGGCTGGTACATAATGATACAAAGTGGTGAACAAATTCCCTGGAATTACTACATGTGGAAATAGATGTCGTGTGAGTTCCACAAGACCCATCAGTGTGACCCCTGTGTTGTGGCCAGCTGGTGTGTACCACTGGGGGTGTGTCCTCCTCCTTTCCTTCTGCCTGTCTTCTCTCCATCCTCATGCCGTTGCTGGGAAGGTCAGCGGATCGAGAGGCAGCAGATCTCTCTCATCCTTCCCTCTGTCTTCATAAATCAGGATTGCACCCTCCCTCCCTCCACGCTTTCCCAAAACCTCAGTGAGGCAGGCATGGTCAGGCACTTCAATGTTCCAATAGTTTTCTGCTAATTATGCAGATGTTTCCAGGAAGGAGTAGGGGCTGTATTGCAGCTGACTTCTACGCGTTGTCAGTACCGCTAGGATCTGTGCATTCATCCTCGGGATGAGAAATGTCTATTTACATTTTGTCGGATCAATGTGCCCCGAAGAGCTGATGTGCCACTATCATTGTAATCTGTCATCCCCATTATCTCTGCCTTTCGAGCCATCTCTAAAAACGTGAATATCAAGGGAAGCTTTCCAGCGTAGACAGGTGACAGCCAACCTAGTTTCATTAGTTACATAATAAAAATTGCAAATCTTGCTGTAACTGTCTGAAATATAGCACCAAAGTAATGGCTTAACTGGTAAGAATAATCTTCCATCTTGGCAGCTGGTTCATGTGCCAAGTTTCAGACTGATGAGGTTAAAAAAGCCAAGAGAAATGCAAAACTTTGAAAATCCCAGCTAATAATGGAAATGTCAAATGACCCTGAATACCAACAGTACCACAGCAGTCCACAGTAATATACTAAGTAACTTTTATGAATCAGAACCCACAGCGTTTTACTCTTTGTTGATTACATTTGGGATAGATTAATCATAAAATACATGGATTTATGTTATTTGTTAAAGTGGACTGGAGGGCAAGTAATGTGCGTTTATTCTTAAACCAATGTGTTTTTAGAATGATTCTTTTATATCAGAAAATTTACTGATGTCTTAATTTAGATTTTATTTTCTGATAGTTTGAGGGATTTTATTTTTATTATGCTGTCTGCTTGGCCAGTGTTTTATATTCAAGGTTGGGAGAGGGAGAGAGAAGGAGAGGGGGAGAAGGTCTCACTCTCCAAAGCAAATCATTGATCCTATTGACCCATTTCCCATTTCAAGCTATTTATTAAATAGGTTATGGCTCCTTCATTTTGATTAGTGGGGAAAAAAGCCCTCAGAGTGCACTTAGAGAAGATTACCTGCTCAGCTCTGTTTGGTACCTTAGTCCAGTAACTGTTTCGTTGCAGAGCCTTTGGCATTTCTTGAGGAATTTATTTTGCTCTTGTCTGTTCATTTAGAGCCCATTTTCTGAAAATGAGGAATTGCAGCAAAGATCTGTGAGGATTTTGGGAATTAACACCTGGGATCTTGCCTTAGAACTAACAAACTTTGATTGGAGCCTCTTCAATGCAATTCACGAGGTAAGAAGCACCACATCCACTTCCAGGTATATTACTGTCATGCAGCATTGCATCACTGTGATGCATTTTGGAGCATTGGTACTCCTGGTTGCTTGCTTCACTGTCATGACAGCATGATTTGGCAGCTCTCAGTAGTGGTCACAGGTCCAAGAGTTATCTTGTGGTCCTTGAGACTGAAAAGAATTGTCAGAGGTTTGTAACTTCCCTGTGTTTGGGCATCTCATATGTTCCCTGTATACTTGATGTGTTTTATTGAGATTTGCCTCAAAAGAGTAAAAGACCATGATTATTTTCTAAAAACCTGCTCTGTGAATGGGTTACATATGCAAAATGTCCTATGCACTTGAAAGTGTTTCAGTAAATATGGGATTCCAGAAATAGTTGTCTTTCATATCACTTTAGCCACAAAAGAATTCACAGTTTCAGCAATTCAGATGGTCACATTACTGTTCTTGTTCTTGGTAGGCTTCAGTGAGATTAAGAATACTGGGCAGGCTTTATTAAATGAGATAATGGTGCACTTCAGGGCCCATTGGGTTGTTTCAATGACTTTGATAGGTTCTAGTTTGGGTTGCTGAGTAAAACACAAGTTAACAGTAGAAAAGCTCTCTTGAAAGTACTGTTTACTGAAAAGCATGTTGGCTTTTTGAGAAAATGAATGTGAAATTGCCTTGGTTTTCACCAGATGCTTTCCTTATCTATAACTTTTATTCAGTTTAGATGCTTTAAATTTGAAACTGGCCATGTTTGGATTTTTTTTTTTTTTTAACAGAAATCAAGACCCACACCTCTATTGATTAAAAATTGGCTAATACAGAAACAAGTTTGAAAAGAAATTTTTCAGATTCTGCAGTGGTTTGATATGGTTGATTTTTCATACTGGAACAGAAGTGATGAAATACAGAAATAGATTGTTTATGTCTTATACCTGGCTATAGCCAGAAATGGTACCTTGGGAATTCTAACAAGAAGAGCATATCTTGCAGGATTTCCAGTCCACCTGCCTTCTGTAATAAGTCTCTAGATTTTGCTAAGCCAAACCTGAACCATTTGTGATTGGCTCATGGATAATGAAAAAATAACCATTTGTGACCAGACCTTGTTTCAAAAACATAGTTTTAAATAATTTACAGTTCATTTCTATTTAAATTGTTTCTATATCCCTAATGATGTTGTCCATGTCTTCCAGCAAGAGCTGATATACTTCACGTTCAGCAGACAGGGCAGTGCTGAAAACACTGAGAATCTCAGTCTTCTGCTTCAAAGATGCAACGAGGTCCAGCTTTGGGTCGCCACCGAGATTCTCCTCTGTAGCCAGCTCTGCAAACGCGTACAGCTAGTGAAGAAGTTCATCAAGATTGCTGCCCAGTAAGTTGCTGGCGTTGCAAGAGAAATCCTGGAATTCACATGGTTTGTTTGGCAAGAAGTAGGTGGAGAAGAAAGGAAAGAAAACTAATTCGTCATCCTGTGTTTTGATAGTGTAGTAAGCATTCCTAAATAAAATAGTCCGTAGATAACAACAGCAGAGCCTGGTCAAAACTAGGCCTGGTGGAGTGTGTGCTGCTCAAATCTCCCCTGGCAGCTTAGCTGCTGTGTCTGCAGTGTCAGCTGCAACATCCCTGACGGTGCAGAGATAGCTCCTTCTGAGCTCAGCTAACCCGAGGACCGTATGATGGAACTATTTTGGCAGCAAAACAGTCACACACAACTAGATAGAAACCAAAACATCCTGTTAGGAACTTGGAAGTCCTGCCTTTAGAGGGGAACCTAACTGCAATAAGCTGTTGCCCCATGTAATCCTCTCTGGAGTACTCCTTTACTTATTGGAGGGGTAGGCTTTTTCATGTGTTAGATTTGACAGTCTACTCTTTCACTGTTACTAAATAGTACTGGCATTTATTCTATGTCTTGCAACAGAATGCAAATATATACTATACACAGAGATTTCTTTTCTCTGTAATCACCATTTGTCTTAGTAACCAAGGAAATGGAGCAATTTAAATATGTGCAATCATCCTCCTCACCTCTCTCTCCACTTGTTGGTCTTCTGCAATATTTGAATATGCATGTTCGTGGAAAATGTATGAATTGTTCCTTTCATCGACTGGGCTGATTTAATTTGCAAGGCACTTACATAGGAAGGACTGTTCTCTGCTGAAGCAGTACCTTTAGAGAAATTAATTCTTCTAATCTAATCTATTGTAACTCATAAATGTGATCTGATTTAGTTTGCAAGTTGTGTGGTATCCAGTAATGTGTTCATTTTCTGCCTTATCAATGACCATAAAATGGTTGGTTCTAGGTGCCTTGCTTGCACCATTGTAGCATTAATTTGCATCCCGGGAAAAGGTTGTGTCAGTCATGAATAAGAATATATTTGTTACCAGATTAAAGTGTTGCTCTATTTTTATTGATTCCATTCTGTTAAGTGAAAAGCCAAAGTTACGGGGACTAAATATAGTTGTCAGTAAGCAGTAGACAGGCTCTCCCAGTGAATTGCAGAAGCACCCATCACTGGAGAATGTAGATGATGAAATAAGAGAGTGTGTAGTTTTCACAAGTTTTTCCATCATAAAAGCTGCTTTCTAAATGAACACACCACTGTATGTCATCAGTTCTGGAAGAGTTGATGAGAGAGGAGCAATTAGGATGGAAGGATGGTGTGCTAAACACATCATGAGACAAGCCAAGCAGCCCTCCTCTTTTGTTTACGACTATGGCAGAGAGGGAGGGAACTATGAACTGCTCTGGCTGCTCCCTGTTCTCTGCTCCCAGATTCAGCCAGGAATCTTCGTCTGGTCAGGAATCCATCAGGACTAAGATTTCACGTCCATCATCTGTGTGCTTTGCTGTTGAGGAATGCATTTTACACAAGTGTGTCAATACATAAAAGAGAGAGATTTTGGAAAACAAATCCATACGCTTCTGTTGATGAGTAGTCTAAAAGAGAAAGCAAGTGGTTCAATAAACAAAATTAATTAGCATGTTATTAGAAAAGAAACAAAACCAAACATCCTGGGGAGTTAAAGAAACAAGTCAATGTAAGGTTAGAACAAAGAGGTTACAACAGCAGCTTTTTGCTCCCCAAGCAAGCAGTGGTGGCTGTGAGAGACATCCCTTCTCTCCACTGCTTGCTGAGAGGAGTGGGCCCACCCAACAGAGAGTTTGTGCAGGCTGCACTGGACACCCTCCTTGTTTTGAAATGAGTTGCCTTTGGGAGCTGCCTGGCTTTAATGATAAAAAGAATCTAAGAAACAAAGTTAGGATTAACACTTGAAGACAGCTGAAGTGAAGTGAGAAATACACTGTCTCAAGATAGTACACAATGATAAGGACAGGCTTTATAAAACTAGTAACAACTTCTGGCCATTTTCCAGCCTAAGGCCTTGGCATGTACTTTTCCCTGATGATAAATCCCAGTGAAGCCAGTGGATTCATTCACACTTTAAATTGTCTTAAAAGAAGATTCACTCTCACACACAAATGCACCCATATATTTGTATGGTCTCCAAAAATCTGCAAGAGGCAGGGCAATATTTTTGTTTTAAAAGGACTCAGTATTTTAGGATTTTAAGTTTCCTAATGAACTAGAAATAAGCATGGTCTGATTGTATACAGTAAAATGTCAAAAAATAGAGGAATCAAGCAAATTGGGACCTGTACTGGAACCAGTACTAGCTGCAACTGGTTTATAGGCATATGTAAATTCAACACTAACCAGATTTTCAGACAATAAAAATGATGAGGGATTGCACCGGAGGATAGATAGATGGGAAAAAAAAAAGAATTATCTAAGGAGTCTAGTGGCATGTGCAAACAACAGTAGGATAAGATTTAATTTAGATAGATGCCAAGTAATTCAGCTACAGAATGCTAATACTGAGCTGAAGAAATAAATGCATGATTGTAAAGAACAGCACTGTGACAGAGGTCCTTGGGTGATAACAGATGACAAATTAAAAGGACAAAATGTGATGCTGTTCCAAATAAATAATTTGCTGTTTGTTTTATACTTGCATAAGAACGTAGAACAGTAATTATATTTCTTTTTCCCTCCCCACTGTCTCACTACGTGAGAAAGTAGTGAAGGAAATAAGAGTTAAATATGAGTTAAAATAAATTACAAAGAATTCAATGAAGGATAATAACAATATGGAAAAGCAAATTGCAGGCCACAACTACAAAGAGAAATTGAAGGAGCCTATGTTGTACAATTTACAGAAAAGATGAAAAAGAGAATGAAAATATTTATTATACAACAGAATAGAGGTCAAGGAATTATTCTGTATGGTAAAGGACAGCTGGGAGTAACTTGAACATTGAAAAGGCAAAATTACTTTTGACAGCAAAGGGAAAAAATTAACCTGCCAACAACAGGGTTGATGAGACAGGAGAACGTTTTCTAAAAAACTTCTTAGAGACCCCATCACCTAGACTGCAGGTGGTTATGAGAGGACATTTAATGAGTTCATTATGTGGAAGATGATTGTATGTTAGTGCTGAGGGTTGAAATGAGACTCAGTAACCTAGGATACGTGTGCATTCCATTTATCACGGATTCTGAGTACAAAAAAAAAATCATATTTTTATTCCTCAGCTGTAAAGCCCAAAGAAATCTGAATTCATTCTTTGCAATTGTTATGGGTCTCAACACTGCATCTGTCAGCCGGCTGTCTCAGACCTGGGAGGTAAGACACATCTTTATATCTTTCAGACACTGTCAAAAGCATTTTGCACAAAGGCTGTATACTGGTGAATTACCTTTTCTTTCTGATTATTATTTTTTTCATGCTGAAATCAAACATGGAGGGAGTGTTGGAGAAAATTCTTTGTGACCTGAAACCTTAGATACGCAGGTATTAAAAAAAACCCACCTAAATGTGTCCTTCCAGAGTTTTAAATAAGAACAAAGCATGGAGATCTTATCCCCTTAAAACAAAATCAATTATTCTAGCATTTTAAGTAGATGTCAAAACAGAAAGTCTTACAAAGGTGGCTCCAAACAAGCAATACCTTATTATGGAATAATTTAATTAAAAAGCCAGATCAACAAAGTAGAAATAAACCTTCTTTAGTTGTCTTTCATCAGGTTTTTTTTTGCAGCTGCTCATCTTAAACAACTAAGTTAGGAAATGAGCCATGAATAAGGAGCATACTGGAGAACAGAGATTATTTGCTTAAAAAGCGACTGGTTGCTACACAGAGCATGAGTTTAAAGGAGGGTCCCACTGGGATCTGTATTTGTGTTGTGGTTTTTTTGTTTCCATCCAAATGGCATCCATGTTGAATTACAGTATCTGCAAGTTTACTGTATCTGCTGATGAACCAAATACTGGGGAAGGGGTGATTGAGCAGGGCGGGTTGAAGCCTTATCCCTCCTTCAAGCCCTTAACACCACAGGTGGGCACTGCTCCAAAAACATCAATCTGTAACACAGAGTGACAGAGAAGGGCTGTGATCTCCTGCCTTGGAGATATGCCTGAGCACCAACAGCTGGGACCAGAGGGCCATTAGAGATTTACAAACCTGTCTGACACTGTCCAGAGCAAAGTCTGCCCTCTCAGCTGAAACCACACATATGGAAACATCACTTGTATGTCTGAGGCTTTGACACACAGAGGAGCAAGGACTGTTTACAGAGACTCAGATAGGCAAGGAAGAACTGACTTAAAAGATAAAGTTTTAGAGAAACTACATACCTGAGGACAATGATACAGAAAGCCCTTGCCTCTGATATCTCTAAAACACCTCTCTGGGGAACATTTGCCCTGGCCTCCTCCTAAGTTGCCTTCATTGCATTTCTCTGGGCTCTGGTAGGATAGTGGAAGAGACCAAGAATGGTCTGAAAGGCAAAGATACAGATCTCTCCTGCACAGAGCCACGCAGAACTCTGCTCTGTGCTGAGGCCTCTGGAGATCATGTGCTGCCGGTGGACTTCTCTCAGGAAGAGCAGAACATGTTGCTTGTCGGAACAAAGAGTGCATCTGCATATGTACCACTGTAAATATGTCACGTTTCTGTGTGTAAAATATTTATCAAGTTGCACCCTTTCTTTTTTTTTTTTATTTGTAAAACTTCATTGCACTGGAAGTTTCAAAAGCAGAAGGTTATTTGCATTAGTAATGTGACTTCTAGAAAGTAGAGCAATGTTTTAAAATTAATTATAATTACTTACACATGTAAATGAAATAACCTAAATTTAAGCAGCCATTTAGACTAAATCATATTGGCTCTGCACTTGATTTTTTAAACAAGTAGTATGCTCCCAAGTATATTCCACCTTTTTTTCCTACAGTATCCAGTGTTTTAATGAGCTTCGCTTTCCCTGGTTTAAGATAGAAAAAAACATGCAGTTCCATGTTCAATCATTTTAGCATTTTAATCATACACATCCACTTAATCTAATTGTTCTAAATCTCTTTCCTCTTGGTAGTGTCACTGTAGCTGTCAGGATCTAAGGACAAAGACAAGACAGGATTTGTACTAAGAGTGGATCTCTTTTACTAGACTAACTACTATGGCTGGAAAAAATAGACAGGCTTTAAGATCCACACACCATTCTTCAAGTCTGAAATACCGGCATGAAAATTTAAATTACAAACAATTGCTTTGAGTGTAGTGATGTGAATCCATTAAAGCATCCTGGAGACAAAGGAAGTGAATGCTTGTGGAGAAGAGCAGGTGTTGGCATGAGGGGCAAGGCAGTAGTTTGTGCCTGGGCTCCCTTAGAAAGTGTTTTATGCACCTCCCTGTGGGATTAGGAGCAGATACCAGAGACAGAGTTTATTAAGGAAATGTCTCACTTCAGCACCAGTATTTGCCAGTGTTAACCCTGATCAGCACTGGTGTCATGTATAAAACAGCACCGAGTGTGACACCTGTTCATTTCTAGAACCTGTGTTCTGGGGCAAGATCGATTACAACAAGTGATTTAACACGGATGTGATCAGTTTCTGAATTCTCAGCCTGTGTTACTGATCTAGCTTGATATGGATGTTTAATCATGGAAGCTGGGGAAGAAAGTAAAACCAGCTGCCAACAAGCAGTTTCCATAAAAGAAGGATGCAGGTCCCCCAGGTGAGGCTGCAGGGCGCAGTTTCTTGCTGGCATTGCACTGAACGTGGTCTGTAACTGGGCCCCTGGGAGCTGAGGAGCCGGGGCTAAGTGCCTGTTGGTGCTTTCAGCAGGCACTTCACCCAGAGCAGCCTCATGGGAAAAAAAGCCTCAGCATTTTTCTGCCTAAATAATTTTTCTGCCTAAATAAAATTATCTTCTTTTTTCTTTTTTTTTTTTTTTTCCTCTCTGTTTTCCAACACTTCAGAAAATTCCTGGGAAGTTCAAGAAACTTTTCACTGAACTTGAAAGTTTGACGGTAAGTATGGTGTTGACAGCAGAAGAGCATTGCTAGCTTCACCTGCCTTCCTCCTTCCTAATTTATTTGGAGTCTGCCTGTTATTGTCTGGAGTTGGACTTGTCATGTCAGATCCATGATTTGCTGAAGGCCACGTGGCTCTCCGGAGCTCCGAGGTGGTCTGCAAACAGGAAAAGGAAAGAGGCTGTGTGCCTGACAGAGGAGGAAGGGCAGAGAGAGGCAAATGTAGTATCACCAGCATCAATTTGGGAGCTGTTCTTTTTCTCTGGTAGCTAATCAACCTTTATCTGAAACAATATACTGCAGATCAGGAGAAAAAGAGACCAGCTCAAGTTTTAAAAAACAAATGTGAAAATCTGAGGCTTGAGGGTGTTTGTCAGCATTATCAAAGCAGAGCAAACAAATGTTTCCTCTGGCTGTCACGGAAGTGGGTGCATGGTAAGATCACTGCCTGGCACAGGGAACAGGAGATCCAGCCTTTACCAGCTGTCATGCTTCTGTACTTGGAGTTCATTATAAATGAATGTGTTTTAAAGATTCTGTGTGAGCTGATGTTTACATTGAAAATTGAGATGACTTTTTGAATTGCCTACGCTGAAACATACTACCTTATTTTCTTTGAAAATCTACAATGTGCTCCATGGATCTTAAAGCAGTTTTGTTGGGATTTTTGGTGCCTTTTGGTGATGTTTGTTTTGGTTTTTTTTAAAGGAGTTAATCAGCATTACATTCGGGGATACATTTTGTGCTATATAGTAAGAGATTTTGCTAATAGAAATTTGTGGGGAAATTACAGAGCAGTCCAAGTGAATATATTCTGCAGTTTCCTCTCAATTTAGCACTGCTTCATCTAGAGGAACATAATTGCTTTTGTTCCTTTCACTGTTTACGTTCCTGTTCGCTTTAGCATGTCGGCTAGCTTAGAAAACCTTTAGCTACCTTGCATCCCAAAGAAACCTTTTATATCTAAATCATGTTCAGATCATAAGCCTGTAATGGATTTAGAATTGCTCTTTTTATAGCCTATTGATTTTTCTGTCTATTACTCAATGGTTTTGTAGGATCCTTCTCTGAATCACAAAGCTTACAGAGATGCATTCAAGAAAATGAAATCTCCGAAAATCCCCTTCATGCCCTTACTTCTGAAAGGTAATGTTAAAGCTTGGCTGCTCTTCACGTTGTTAATTAAAATAAGTGTAAGGAGATTTTTCCTTTGGATGCTCTTAAGATGAGTATGTGACAGATATAGTGGTATTGACAAGGTAGCACTTGGTCTGGATAATAAACAGCTTCCTTTTAAGACAGGGGGAAGATCCCAATTTTCACACAGGTCTTAAACCTTCATAGTGTCCTGTCAAGTGTGGATAGAGCTGTGAGCTTTTGCTTTGGTCACATCCCCTTCAGTGGAGAAGTGTGACCCTGCAGGCCCCTGAACCAGTGCCTTGGTCATTCATACTGCAGCTCTGAGATGCCTGTTGGGAGATGCCTCCCTGCTTTGCTGGGATGAGCCTGCCCTGGTGCCACCCTGAAAGCAGAACCTGCCCTGTCTGTCTGTCCTTAGAGGAGGGGATTTCCACTCTCTTATAGGTCTGAAAGAGATAAATAAAATCTTACTATCTAAAATCATTAAAAAAAAAAAGTCTTAAAGTACAACTACATGCTAATGCAGTGAGCTGGGCAGCTAATTAAGTGGCAAGTATTTCAAATATTCCATTGTCTTGGAGTCATTAATTATTAATTGCCTAGTCTTTGAACATGGCAAATTCATTTGTTTATTCCTGTATTCTGAAAGTGTTCTCTTTAGGCTGTTTATTCCAACCTGCTGCTGTGAAATGTCTGAAGGCAGTTCTCGAGATCAGTTGGTGACAGTTTGGGAGCCACTAGACGCTTCCCCTCTTTGCACACATCAAAGGAGTTTACATTAATTCAGATGGATACAATTATCAAGGCTTCAAAATCAATATTTTTACAGTGTTCTGGAGTATGTCTTCCTGCAAACAAAAGCAGCAGTCATAAGTCACTTGTAGCAATGATGTTTGCACAGCATTACAATATGGTGTATAAGAACATGCACCTAGACAGCATTTGTATATTTAACTTGAACTGGAGATAGCAAGAAGACTTTGAAATTAATGCAGTAATGTCCTTCAGTACAGTGGTCCATGAGGAGATGTTGCCAAGGTTGGTAATTCCCAAAGTATTGCACAGTGCAATGGAATTTATTCCATATCAAGCATATTTGTATTAGGGTCATTTCCAAGACCAGTAAAATAAGAATGGGTAACATAGAAATCATTAATAACTCAGCAAATTGCTGTATTTCATCACAATAGGAACAAAAGTAGTTTCAATTAAAAAAGGAAGAAAAATCTTAAATTATGAAAAATAACTTCAGAGTGTCCTTTCAAAAGTTAATTAAATTTAAATGCAGAGCTCTCACAGCACACAGACACAGCTTTTGAAAATCAGGCAGATTTTTCAAATGTGTAATAAAATACTGTGATATACCCTTATAACCTAGTTCAGATGCAATTTTCTGCTCCACTGAATTTATCTAGACTCTTAGTTGTTGGCTGCAAAGCAAATTTCTGTTCCTTCTGCCCCCAGAGATATACACATTGCTGTCAATGACTTAAAAAGCTGTGTGGAAATTTCTGCTTCCAGTATAGGTTTTTCATTAGAGGTGATGGGCAGGTTTTAACTGCACTGATATAGACAGAAGTACTGCCTGTGTCCTGAGCTTGTGTCCTTTCTGTGTCCCTTTCCCTGGGTGCCCCAAAGCAGTCCAGCAGAGGAGGTGCAGAGGGTTGTGCTTCCTCCTTTCCTGCTCTTTAGGATGCAGCCCAGGGGTAGGAGAGGTGCTGGAGCTTTTGGCAGCATGTGCTGTGCTTTCTGCATGTCCAGGCTGGCACCCTGTCTGTCCCAGCCACCCTAGGGGCACAGGGTGATGGAAACATCACCCCCCATGAGAGTCCCAGCCCCGGGTTTCCAGCAGCATTTGAAGCCATTTAGCATTTCAATCCCAAGCAATTACAAAATGCCCCTCAGGCACAGAGTGAGCCTTTGAAAGCCAAGGCAATAAATCAGGTTGGCTGTTTTGAGGGAGGGTGAAGGTAGAGGTGGATGGGGGCCGGTGTGTGACGAAGCTTCTCTGCATGTTTCCACTCCTGAAATCCCCCAAAACCGTGGTGTCCGTGTGGGTATCAGAAGGAGTCCTAGAGGTGAGGACAGGAGAAATGCTGAGGAGCACAGTTCGACTGCTGGGCTGGAGGCTGACATCTCTGCTGAGAGGGACACTTGTCCCATTTGCTGTGTGCTGTTCTCCCAGTGGCATCCACAGCTGTGACTGTTAAGGAGTAATGGTATTGGAGTGCCACCTCATTCCTTCAGCATTTTCTCCTCATGGATCTCCTGGGTACCCTCACATGCAGGGGAGCTGATGGGGCCAAGGCTGTGGTGCTCCTGCCAGTGCTTTCAGTAACCTGGAGGTTGCACTATTGAAGTCAGAGCTTCCACTCCCACAGGGAATCTATTCATATTTTGGTACTCTATGTCCAAGATAGGTCTCACTTCTGACCTAATATGCATTAGAAAAACAGAGAAAATGGCCTTGAGCTACTGTTTTAATTGTATCTTAACTTGGCAACGTTTATTTTGCCTGATATTCCCTCCCTCCAGTTCATTACACTGTGTTCAGTTCTCTTCCTGGAGCCAAATATACACCTTTTCCTTTTCCTCTGACCTTTTGTTGCCTTTGCAAATTCCCTCCAACAACACTACATAGAAGTGTTTTTCCCTAGGCATGATGCTCATTTCAAGGCTCTGTACTGTGGTGTCTTGTGTTTAACCTGTCTGGCTGTCCACTGCTGTAGCCCTTGTCTTTGGGGAGGATTTGCAGTCATTTGTCCCACGGAGCGAGATGAAGGGTGTCAGAGCCAGCTCCAGCATCTGGGAGATCTGCCCCTGTGGAGCTCTGGGCTCAGGGACAGACCTATCCCAGCCATGGGCAGAAGGTCTGGATTGGTGCTGCAGGGTGTGGGGAGCAGCATGCCATGCAGGGCCATCCCTCTGGATGCCCTCCCCTGCTCCCAGCCACCTTCTGTATATTATGCATTCCAGAAGTAGCACAGATCACGTTTAATAAGAAATCCTTGCCCCCACTTAAAAATATTCTTCTTAACAATGTGTAAATATTGTTGTTATCTAATAATCGCTGCATGTCATCATTAGGCCAGGCTTTTGTTTCACTGTTACAAGATATTGTGGCAGTCCTTAATGGGATACTTTCCTTTTTTAAAGAGGTTGTGAGTAGTAATTGGTTTTTTGGTTGTTTTTTTTTTTTCCAGATGTAACATTCATCCATGAAGGAAATAAAACGTTTCTGGATAACCTTGTTAATTTTGAAAAGCTGGTAAGCTAATTTTGTCCTTCCTGTTTTTCGAAATATTAATGTTCTCTTCTTCCCTTTGCTTTCCTTATCTTGTAAGACTGTAAGGTTTTCTTCTGGCTAAACCAGGAGGAAATAAACAGGGGTAGAAAAGAGCAAGCAGGATGAAACAGCAAAGTCTCTTTCCCCTGCCCTTTTCCTTTGCTCCTTTCTTTCTCGTTCCTTCCTCCTCTACTCCTGTGTAAAATGGCTAAACCAATAATGGCCATCATCACTGCTGCACATTCCAGTCTTCGCTTGTACTCGGTGAGACCAATTCCTTTGCACCACCTCGAGGGCTGCTTCGTATGAGTTAAGTTCTCCTGCTTCAGCTTTCTCTGAATTATGTTTCCTTTTTGTTTTTTTCCCTCAGGTTTCATTAGTTTATCACTTAAGGAAAGATTCCTCTAGTTTATCACCTGCAAGTGGTACTGTAATTTTAGAGATCTTAAATGAAAGAGAAGCCTTTTGAACTGTGTTAAATGAGGAAGACAATAATGCCTGAAATACAAATTAAACTGACTGTAAATATTACTATTGTGGCTTTTATGCATAAGGGCACTTGATGATGTATTTTTGGCCACATTCACTCTAGGCATCATATGACATCTACTCTGGCATGGGATTACTGAGGGAGGTTTGAGTTGCCTAATTTGTGTTGGTTTTTGGTGGTTTGTTTGGTTTTTGTTGTTGCTTTTTGGTTGGTTGGTTTTGTTCAGTTTGGGGAGTTTTCTTTGATAACATTTTCATGAGATCGCTCAGTCTGTTCAACCTAGAGAAGAGCTCATTGCAGTCTAGAACTTCCTGGTGAGGGGAAGAGGAGGGGCAGACACTGATCTCTTCTCTGTGGTGACAGAACTTGAGGGAATGGCCTGAAGTTGTGTCAGGAGGTTTAGGTTGGATATCAGGGAAAGGTTCTTCACCCAGAGGGTGTTTGGGCACTGGAACTGTTCCCCAGGGAAGTGGCCACAGCACAAACCTGACAGAGTTCAAGAAGAGTTTGGACAGTGCTCTCAGACACATGGTGTGATTCATGGGGATGGTGCTGTGCAGGGCCAGGAATTGGACTTTCCTTCCAACTCGGCTTATTCTGTGATTCTGTTACCCTAAAAGACAAATGTTATATATTTGAACAGTGGTGGAGTAGAGAAGCTTGGATTTTTTTTTTTGTTTGTTTTGTTTTTGGCCTGTAGTATTTGACCAAGAAACCAAAATGTTCTCTGCAATTGTCCAAATGTGCCATGGGACTGTTACTCCAGATGGCTGTGGTTGGTGAATTGTCCCAACTATTTTCTCCATGTGTTTACACTTGTTTGGGAATGAACACACAACCATGGAATTATTCATGAACCAGATGTTGAACTTATTTTCACATTCTATCATAATATACATTGTCTTTCGACTTGCAAGCAGATGTAGGCTCTGACTTTTGAACCTGAGCTCCTTTTTTTCATGTTTTCTGTTTGATTTCTGTACCTTTTCTTGTTGCAGAGTTTACAAGAATACCGATTTGCATTTAATGAAAGGTTTTCTTGTTCCAAGTCCATTAACTGTTTGACCTTTAGGTGTTTTCATAAAACTCATTAGCATGTTCTTCTTCATTGCCTTTTGGAAGTACATCCAATTAACATGTAAATTAAACTAGCCCTTGATGCACCATGATTGTTATTAAAATCCTTCCACTGGCCCGTATATTTATTTAGTGAATATGTAGGATCTAATTCTTGTCCAGTCCTAGCAAGCTGTGTTCATTTTTTTGTTTGTTGTGTAATCGTGTATATGTTTAATATATGCTGGGCTTCCTGGGTAAGAATCCCTTTCCTTTCCCTCTCCATTGTGTCCCCAGAGGCAGTGGGAGCTTTGCTAATTGACTTCAGTGAGCCAGGATCTCACCTTTTCCATTCAAATGGATAAGGGGCATTTTAAATGGCAAGGGGGGAGAGGCTGAGGTGATGGTTGTGGGGTGAGAGTTGTTCTGATTGACACTTCCTCCAAATTATCATTCAGATCACGCTCTCAGAAACATGCTGTCTCATGCAGCCCTGTGCATATGAATGCAGGCAATAGTGCAAGCTTAGGAAGTGGGGGCTTAGGAGAGATTTAAATATCAGTGTAGTGGAAACTCAGGCTGCACACTGGTATTACCCTGGCTCAGTTGGATTTAATCAGTGGCCACGAACTCACAAGATTACACGTGATCACGTATTCATCAGTCCATGTTTCTTTTCTTATTGTAAGGGCTTTGTCCTGGAGAACAATGTCCTCCTTGGTGTTCTGCACTGAGCACTGAAGTGGTGAGCACTTTCTGGCCTTAGCTGAGAAAAATTAGGATTGACATTGACTCCTGCTCGATTTGGATCAAGCCACTGAACCTCACCTGCAAATTTGCTGTTGCAGAAAAAGAAGAAAAGAATTATTCTACCATAGCAGATTACTGCTTTGGGGAAGGAACTTACTGTCATAAATTACTAGAATTTCCACTTATGAATTTCAAAGCAAAGATGGTTTCTTGTATCTCCGTTTGGATCACTATTTCGAAATATTTAATTTCTGCATTAAACATCTCACCTGAAGGAGGACTTGTCAGTCTGAACCATTATTTTTTCCAACTGTATTAGTTTCTTTTATTAAAGATCTTTCTCCCTACAATCCCTGCTTCTGTTATATTCTTAGAATTCAGCAATCCTACCATGACTGGATTTGATTTGACATGAAATTATAGCAGTGGATACAAAGTTAATTCAAAATATAAAGAAGGAAATTTGCAAAGAGAAGAAAAGAAGTGATCTTTTGTCTCAGGAATGTTACCTAGCTTTGACAAAGGTGAAGGGGTTGCATTGGTTTATTTAACTGCATTTTGGGTAAAATCTAGTCTATTATAGTGTTAGATCAATATTTAGTATCATATTTACTTCTTCAACTAAAGCTGAAGGAAAAAATGAGAATATAGCCTTACACAATCACATCTCAAGGAATTTCAGTGGTATTTTCTTGGCTGTTTCACTAAAATGTGGCTTCTTCAGGTTTTTCTCTCCAGCCTTCAGCTATGTCTTAGCAATGACATGTCTTAGCCACACTCCAGCAAACTCTATTACAGGTCAATGGCCATTACCATTTTCAATAACACCTGAAGAGCCTTCAGCTGTAAGGGCTGTGTACGTGCAGCTGTGTGTTTTTAACCCACACCCCCAAATTTCTGTGCAACCCCAAGCCTGAGGCTCTGCTGTCCTCAATGAAAGGAGTGCTAATGATCCCGGGTATCTAGCAGGCTGAAAAGCCACAAGAAATGTGTGTTACTGATCACACTAACAAGTATGCTAGCACCTGTTTAAGCAGTCAGGAGATAGCATTTGCTTTGCAGATACATTGGCTGACTTTCTGCGTTACTTTTGGATCCCAGAGAATTGAAACCAGAAAAATTCATAATTAGGATACTAAACCCAGAAGATTTGCAATTCTGCTTTAAATGTTGCACAAAGAAGTTCTTCCCTTACCAGAGCATCACCTACAGAAACCAGTCTTGGGATGAACCCTCACAGTGACTGACTACAAAGGAGAGACAGCAAAGGGTTACAGTATGTGTGATGTGTGGGTTTCTCTGACTTCTGAAATCCAAATGCAGAGAGTGTTGTCTGGGAAACATCACAGTAACAGCACTGGTGTAGTTGTACTGTACAGTACTGTTAGTACTGCCAGTACTCACATTATTGATCGTGAAATCTAGATCATCTCATTAGAACTTCATTATAATCAGTGCAAGGACATCAGCACAAGGGATTGTGTAATTTCATGGCAAATGAAGCACAGCGGGTAACAAGAAAAATTATTTTGATTTACTGATGAAAGAAATACAAAGTTTCCATTAAATGTGCTCTCGTGATAAGCTTTTCTGTGGAGAAGTCTTGTAAGCCACTCCCAGGATGTTGAGAGATGAGCTTTTCTGCATTATTCTGGTCTTAAACATACTCAAGACAGTTAATCCTTTCCACCTTTAATAATTTTTGAAGGAGATGTAAAATGAGATCAGCTGTTTGCATGAGCTTTCAGATCATTCCTGCTGACTGCAATTTGCTTCTGTTACTTACTAGATTTGGTGAGAAATTGCCTCAGGAACAGTAAAATTTTTAAAAAGTAATGGCTTAAGAACTTTACGGGTAGTATCTAGTGAAAATAATCTCCCTCTACTGATTTGTAGTGAATAATCCAAATTTTTGTATAAATTGGTGACCTGAGTCTGAATGAGAAACCGAATTTAAACCTTTTGTTTCCTCTGCTTAATGTAAGTGAACGTTTAATATCTCTGTAAGCACCAGCTTTTGTTAAAGTGGCATACATAGAGGACAGTTTTACTTGGTACCTACGTGTGGAGATGTCAGGGTGCTTGCTCTGCAGCATTTGGGCTATGGGCTCTTTATTTTTTTTGTGCTGGTTAGGCTGCAGAGAGCTGCCTGGCTGATAGTGGTGCCTGAGTGTGGTAGCATCACACAAGTGTACACTGAGGGGTGCAGTCTGTGCCACAAAGAGGTTTACAGTGCAATTATACCAAGTGGAGACAGAAGGACAGGCTGCAGACTACACAGAACCTTAGATAATGTACTAAAACTGGGGTTGAACCCCAAAGCACTCACCCAGTCCACAGGCCTTCCTTTCTGTAGGTTTTCAGATTAATAAAAGTTGCTGGAAGAAAAATGAGCATTTGTTTGGTTATTTTTCATTACCACTTCCCATGGGTTCCTAGGGAGTTGTTCTCATTTAATCTGTGTGATATCAATAAGACATCCTGACTAACCCTGTTTCATCAAATGGGATCACCAAGATAAAGAGCAAAGATCCTCCTGCTGTCTTCACTTTCTACTTTACCACAGTTGCTTTTTGTTGTTCAGTGTAGGACAAGATTTTTTTCAGGCTTTTCTAACAATGACAGAATCTGTCCCAGGTCTTTGCACTGATGTTTATTATTTTATCTTTGCAGCACATGATTGCAGACACTGTTCGGTCATTGAGACATTGCAGAAATAACCAATTTGGTGAGTCGACAAAATTTCCTACTTAATTTGCCTTTGTACATCCTTGAGGGTTTGTTGAGTTTTAGGTTTGGTTTTCCCCCCGCCGTTTTCTTTCCAGCTGCTCAAGTTTACTACAGAATGTGATCAAAACCTATTTAACCAATGGGCAAAAGAAGGCATCATTTTTGGAAGATCAACACAGCAAAAATCAGTTTTTTGCTGTAGTTTAGAAAATATTTCTTGGAACAGCTTCCAAATTTTAGTAAATTACTTTCCTGCAAAAATTGCCATCTCTTCAAAACCCTGTGTAAGATCTGTGCCAGCTGCACTCAGTAATGGAGGCCTCTGGTGCATGCTGCTGTTTCTGCCTTTCCCAGCTATCAAGGAGTTAGCTCAGTCTTGCCACTCTGGGTGTTTTGGTAAGGAATTCACAGCTGCCTTGGCTTCCAGCAGCTGAAGATGGTATTCATCCCCACAGCTTTTCACTCGGCTCTGCACCAAGAGCAATTGTTTGCTTGTCTGAGGTTCTTAAGGACGTTTCACAAAACTGTAGAAGTCTTGAAGGCATGAGGGTGCTGTGGGTTTTGTGAAAGTGGTCGAGTAGGAAGAAATGAGAGGCTTATTTCCTCTTCTAGGGGAAACTGCAAATATAGCTGTGCCTGCTTTAGACACTGGAGGATCTATGCTGGAGGCAAGGATTGTGAGTGCCTCAGCTGCACAGAGGACTTTTTTTGTTTGCTTTTTTAAAAATTTGTTGCTGTTGTTGTTGTTGTTTCCGCCTTATTAGCCACTAGAGAATCCAACCCTAAGGGACCATGCCAGAAAACTTCAGCTCTCTTTGTTCTGCTGCTTGCAGAGGAGAAACCTTGCTTTTCTCCTTCTCAGTGTTCTTATTGTCTGCAGAGATGTTAAATGCAGGAAGGGGACAGAAGAGCTACTTTAGGAAGCAGTTAGTTTTTAAGCCAAACCCACTAAACATGTCGTTTATTGAGGCCACTAAAACCTCTTTTTTGAAGAGAAGTTCAGAACTGTGCTGCAGCCTTGGGGAGAATAGAGCTGAATAATAACTTTTTTCCACTGACTTTTCAGCAGCTGTCAGCATTGACTCCAACAAAAAGAATAATAATCATAATTTTAATTATAAATACAGGTACCTTGGAGAATAATAGGTACTTTTAAGAGTTTTGTAAAACATTTGCTCTAAAGAATTACCACATGTATATACAGTATTACCTTTAAACAAAGGCTGCTCAGCATTATGGTTCTTGAGTAATTTTTCTAAATATATATATTAAAAAATATATATGTAAATGTATGTAAGAGATGAAGCAGGGGGGAAGGAGTAAGATGTGCCTTCTTTTAATTCAGATACAAAAGGAAATATTGATTAATCCAAACTATGCCTCTGTAAATTAAAATGTCTTCTATTTGGTATTATGAAAAGTAACATTGTTTCCTTTCAGTGATGTGAGGGTTTTTTGCAATTTTTCCTGCACATCTTTCATCTTGTTTTTGTCTTTTTTATTTTTCCAAGTGATTTTGTAAGTCTTGCAGCATAAATCCAGGGTTAATACCTGAGATTTATCATATAATCTGGTAGTTTGAAGTAGGCAATTGTTATTTTATTTTAGCACAGGCTTGATTTATTGTGAAGCTGGCATTTAAAAAGCAGCTTATACAGACATCCCTGTAGGCACTTTTTTTTTCCCTAAAATTCGTTTAGGCATGAAATGAATTCACTGAATATTTATTGAGACTTTATGGACAGTTTCCTTTTCTAGTGGGCTTATTTTGCTCTCAGGAATGTGAATCTTTCTACTGCATCAGTTCCCAGATTGGCCTAAGAGCAGCAGGCTCTTTCTCACTATAAGAAGAAATTCAAACAAAACTAAGCAAGGAATATTATTATTGTTTATGAGCTGTATCATGTATATTAAGCTTGCAGGCCAAAGTGTTTCTGGATTAGAAACTGGTTAGGTTCCAAGTAAAACTGAAATGCCTGTTTAAAGGAAATAACATTTATATCCTAAATCCTGAAAACAAATAATAGCATTTCCAAAGTGAGGAAGAGCAGCCTGAGAAAACAACATAATTCAAGCTTTTGTTATTTGAGGTGTTAATGAGAAATACAAATGTTTTTCACTGTGTTCAGCACAGCTGCTGGGATCCTGTTCCCTCAGAACAGAAAGGTCAGCTCTGTATGCTGACACAAATTTATCACATTATCCTGTTCTCTGCAACACTGCTCAAGTTAGATGGCTGCTGTGCAGGAGCTCTTTAGAGCAGCTGCCCAGGAGCCCCATTAGCAGCCACACAGAACTGCCTGCATTCACATCCCACTCAGCATCACAGATGTCTTCAGAAACAAGCAGGATTGGTGATTCCTGGAAACTTGCTCATACAGCTGGAGAGTGCGGAGAAAAGGATGATAATGCAACGAGGGAGAGGGAAGAAGTGTATGAGTTAAGCTGATTGGTTCAGGCAATTTTGAAGAATTTTTTGGGGTTTTTTTTTTCCAATTTATGGTAATATTGGGGACATGGACATGAATGGAGCTTTCCAACTTTGCTCATCTGCCAGAAGTCAGCAATGTTGCTTTCTCTGCCTGTCTTGATGGATCTTGGGCTTGGCTTTCTTTTTTCTGTCTCTGCTAGTACCAGCCATGCTGAATGGTTTCACAGGCAGGGAGTTCCCACATTTTGAGCATAAAGCTTGTAAGAGAGAACTGCTATTCAGGCCACCCTTCAGTTTGCCTGTTACACAGCTAATTCCTCTTGCTGCATAAACTCCCATGAAACGACAGCATGACTTTTGTCTCTGTTACTAGATCAGAAATCAAAAGCCTAACAGATCAAAACACCAGGGCCTGTCAGAGCAGCTTTGAAGAGCTTTCGTATCCATCTGCTGCACTGTCACCTTTCACTGGCTCTGAAGAAAATCATCCAAGGCCTGCTGTCTTGTGGACTGTGTTAAAATTTTTAAAAAGTTGCAGGTTGGGTTGCCCACCCATGCTCAAGGTCCCATTGTGCTGCCAGAGCAGCACAAAGGAAACCTTGAACCTTACAGGGGATGGACTGCCTGTACTGCCAGCAGAGCTAAATCTTCCTCTTGGGAAGAGTCAGCTTCTTGCCGTCCTCATGCCCCCCTCCTTTATGCATGCTGTTTGCCCAGAATTGCCTATTTTTTTTTTCTTCTCCCCTGTTCTCTATCTAGCTGTTACCTCATTCATTGCACTTAAGCAGCAAGAAGTTACTTTGGGTTACAGGCTGTCTTTTCTGTGGCTGTCTAGCACCTGGCAGGTGGCACAGCGGTGACTTTGTGACAGAGGACAGAGAAGCAGCAGGCAGGGCACAGCTTTCTGATCCATCTCCTTTCTCCTGTCTTGCAGGCAATGAAGTTCCTTCGAAAGAGCATCACGAGCTGAAGCCATACATCCACCACCTGCATGTCATCGACAACCAGCAAGCTCTGTTTGAGCTCTCCCACAGGATAGAGCCGCGAGCGTGAGCGTCCACTGCTTCATGTAACCTTGTAACTGCAGCACTTTGAATTAAGTGAATGTTTATGCCAAGCATGTTGCTTCCCTATATGAGAAGGGTTTACTGAGTTTTATCAGTAGCTCACACAACATGCGCAGGAAAATCAGGCAAGAGCCAGCAGAGGAGCTGCTCACAGAATTGCAGGGCAAGCTTGGTGCCATTCCCGCTGCTCCCTGGGACCTGAGGCAGCAGAGCAGTGTCCTTTGAGCTCAGGAGCTTGGTTTCTGTGAAAATATTGTTTGGTCCAGTGTAGCTTTCAATGCAGATTCTGCCAGTATTAGTAAGAGAGGAGTCATCATGTCACAGCAGCAAAACATTTCAGCAAGCAACATGCCGCAAGGGGTTGATTCCCAGTTCACCACAGTATGTACCTCACTAATTCAAGGCTGCCAAAGTACTGTTGCCAAAAATGATGTGCAATCTGTGCAGCTCCCATGAGTCCGCTGGAGCATAGCATTTGAGATGTGTGAGCAACCTAGAACAGGAATATAACAAGGCAGTGCAACCAGATGAAACTCAAGAGTGTGTTGTGATGTGGAGGTCAGCAGTAAACAGTTCACTCTGTTACGGCTCCTTTAAGAATATGCTTTATAAAACACACTATAAGAGCCAATCCACTTCTGTTGCAATTTATGGACACAATTGTTTGTGTACTGAAAACATGTTATTTTCTTCCTTTTCAGTTATCTAAGATTTAGCACTGGCTCCTGCAGTTAATGTGTTATAAATTATTATAGCAGGAACTTTGTTTTCTGCTTGGATTACAGCCTCTTTGGTATCTATTCAGAGGCAAATACCTAGATCCATCTACATTTCTAATTCCCCCCACTGGAAATACCATTTCAGGAAGTGAAACTTCACCTAACTTGGACATGCTTCTAATTTTTAAAGAGCAGAAAGGTGCCCCTTACAGGGTACCAGTGTAATTACCTGCATACACACCAGGCTCTCAGCATCAGGGTCCCTTTACTGCTTTTGTCCCTTTCACAGCCCACCCCATGACAATTCTCATGTAGTTAAAAGTACTGCATCTGGGCCTGTGCTGAGGCAGCATTTCTAAAGTAATGTCTACAGCTGACCTACATCCCAAGCACCACCATCACCTGGTTTCCAGCGCTAAGAAGTTGCCCTGAGGTGATGTAGTGAATGCCACAGGCAATGTGCAGAGGGTGCTCCTTGGCACGTGTTTGTGCACTGACTCACGGTGACGGTCTCTTTACAGAGCAGGGAGGATACATTGCATTGCTTGCCCGTCTTGTTGTATGCTTTCCACATAAGGAAGACTTTCAAGAAAACTCTCTTTTACTAAAATGTGGGAATACTGAAGTAGCATGCTCTTCATAATTGTGTTATCTCTGGTTTAAAGGGATTTTTTAAAAAAAAGCAGCTTTAACAAGTAGTCTGTGGGGGAATCTGTAGAATGCATTCAGTTTTCCCATCTGTGAAATATTGTATAGATCTATTGTAAAGGAAACAGATGTTTCAGAAATGTATTTGCTTGTACTTTGTTATTATCAAATACTATATGATTTTTTTTTAAGAAAAAAAAATTTCTTTTTACCCAGTAAAAAGAAAAAAAAATAAACTCTTGCTGGCCATGGAGTAAAAATTTCCTATGTTCTTCTGTAGATGTGACTGCACATATTGTAAATAACTTTTTTGTGCAAACAGACCAAAACTGTTCAAATGAAGATACTAGCTGTGGTGGGCTCCTTTTTGCAGTGTAAGAACAAAAACCAGATACAATTTGCTGCTTGTGTTTCTGCAGTTCTTCCTAGGGCTACAGCACTTAGAATTCCCAACATAGCTGCATTACCTGGATGCTTTCCTGGGTTTTGAGCTCCCTCTTGTGAATTTTTTTTTTACTGTGGCATTATTTTTAGGAACCTGTATGTAGACCAGCCTGCATGCTTCAGCTTGTGTGGTGTAACACTCTAGTCCACAAAGTTGTTCTGGAAATCTGTTGGAGAGGGAGCATTCAGAGGTATTCAGGATGAGAGAGAAGGTGGGGCTGTTTCTCAGTTCACTGCATTTGGCTCTGTGATAGTTTTGGTAGCTACTGTGGATGAAGCAGAAGCTGTGTTGGAGAAGAATAAAAGACAAGAAAATGAAAGAAGGAAACCAAAAAAAAAAAAAAAACAAAAAAAAAAAAAAAAAAAAAAAAAAAAAAAAAAAAAAAAAAAAAAAAAAAAAAAAAAAACAAAAAAAAAAAACAAAAAAAGAAGAAGAAGAAAGATAAGATGACTCTGTGCTGAGGGTTTGATTTGAAAGTCTGATACACCTACCTGGAATACTCCTCACTCTGCCAACTCAAAATGAAGTAAAGGGATGGGTTAACTCATACCAATAGGCTTTGAGCCAGTTGAGGCACTGGCTTTCTGCACCTCTGTAATTTCACACTAAATCAGGTGCTGTCTACCACTTGCAGCTGGCATAAAATCAGTCTGAGGGCACACAGCCAGCATTAACCTTGTTATCTCTGCTGTGACTAATTAGACAACTTGTCACAGCTTTGCAAACTGGTTTTTGTAGTGGCCTGTATAACTTGGATTTAAGTTTCAGGTGTGAGGATCCAACATGGCTACATCAATTAAGTGTTGAGAATTGGGCCTTAGAACTGTTACTATGAAGGAAAAGTAAATAGCCCAAACCTGTAGCTAATATGTCTGATTAGAAAAAGACCCTTCTATGTCTTCATTCCACTGGTAAAGTATTGCAGAGCTTTGCTGCAGACTGGCAAGCAGTTTGAACATTGGAAGTTAGGAGGAGAACTAGAAGTAAACCCTGTATTAGGGAAGGGCAATACTATACAGCCTCTCCCAGGGTCCAGCACTGGTGATTTTGTGTGATTTTTTTACATCCTTAATAGTGCAATTAGGTTATGTGGTATAAAACCTAAAAATCCTATAAATTCCATTTATCACAATCACATCTGGAGTTAAATACTCAGCATACTCTTTTTTTTTTTTTTTTTTTTGGTACCTAAGAGGAGTAATTAGATAGAGCAAAGGAAAGAGCTGTGTCACTTTGTACCTCTTTGACATGGAATTTTGTGGCAACAAATTTAGATGTTTCTCTAACACAGCTTTTTGATTCCAACATCATCTTGAATAGCAATAAATTTCATTTGCATAGCAGTGGCAAAAGAAAGGGTGTTATCAGAAATAAGACCTTTGCTGCTGTAAAATTACAAAGAAAGATGTAAATAATGAACATTTTAGCAGAGTAATATTTATTTGCATAGCCTGTTTAAGGTCATCTTATACACTGTTAAACACTGGGATGAAGTCAATGAGCTGAGGTAAGAACACCTGCCTGTTCCCTCTTGAGTGCCATAACGGTGTCAGCTTGCATTAAAAGTAATAAAATAGAAACCCCCAAATCAAGGTATTTACCTGACTTCTCAGGGACTACAGCTAGTAGTTATCCACCATCATGAGACCTGGTATGTATGAAATAATCTGATTTACCAGAATCAATGTTGCCAATGTTTTCCTTTGCATATTTCATGCTTGTTTGCCTCTGTACATATTATTGTGTCGTGTATTTATGAGCGCTAGTAAGCAATAATTTATATGTCAAAATGGCCAAGCAATACAAGGTTAAAACTTGTAGAAGCAATGTTATGTTTATCTTGCATTTTCCAGTGTTTTTTAATATTGCTTTTCAAAATATAAAAACTACCTTAATGAAGTCTGGGCTCTGTGCCTTTATGCCTACCACACATACTTATTGTTCCTACGTGGAATATTTTACTTCCAGTCCTTCAGTCCCACAGACCCTCACTGCATTTGTGAGATGGATGCAGACTCGCACAGAGGCTCAGGAGCTTGACCCCTTTCAGAGCTGCTCATCTGTCTCTGGTCAGTGGTACTTGCTGGTACCAATGTTTCAAAAGCAGGAATGATGTTAATGGGGCCTCAGCTGTGCCCTGTCAGCACAGCACAGCCAAAGAGGGGCCTCCAGCCACCATGAGAAGTCCCTGCGGGAGAGGGGAGGAGTAAATCTATCTTCATATCCTCTGGAGTCTGCTTATTGGCACTTGATCCTCTTACTGAGGACAGCAAATGCTTTCCCCTGTCATCAGTCATCCCTGATGCTGCTGTTTCCTCTCCTTCCTCTGGGCTGGTCTGCACAGGAAGGCAGAGCTCAGGATGGGCTGCAAGTGCACTGTAAAGCAGCTGTCCTTCCTTCCTTTCCTCTTGCAAACCCTTGGAACCAGCAAGCCAAACCTGGCTATTTCAGACAAATGACACTTGGTACTTACAACATGCTGTCTGTTCAGAGTGCTTTACAAACAGGCAGTACTTAATTAATTAATACTTAGTACTTAAGACTCTGAGTGTCTTCACCTTAAGCAGTCTTAAGCCTGACCTTGAAAGTGTTTGTGCTACTGTTAGTATACAGATAGGGTGAATTCTAACCTTAATATTTAAAATAAGCCTGAATTGTCGACACTCCTCCATAATGATGTTTAAAGATACATTACAGGCAGACATACTTTCCCAGATCCAATTACACAATGTGAAGAATTTATGGTCTCAGTGGTTTGTCACTGTCCCTTCATTGGATATCACTGCTCTCTGTGGTGTAGCCCAGAAGATTGGGAGAGAACCTCCAGACCTGTTGCAGTAATTAAGCCACACGTGGCTGCATGCAAGCAGCTAACTTTGCAGGAAGGGCTCTCCTTCCCTCCACTGCCCTTGCTGGGAGACCGTCACAAGAAGAGTGATGATATCTTTTAGATGACTTGCAAATGGCAAGGTGTGGAGCTGAGGACAGCTGCCTTGCAGCTCCAGTTGTGCTAGAAGAGCCACAAGAAGAGGCTGCTGGGCTGCAGATATGGTCTCTTGAGACCATCTTGCTAAACTGTTCAAATAAGGGCTCTTCTATCCCTCTCCAACAAAAAGAGCTTGACTGGTGAAGACCTGCAATTTAAGCTGCTCAAGGGACTCTGAATTTTAACTGAAGTAATCAGAGGGGTCTGTGAGGAACCATTCCTACAGGAGCTGTGTGAGCCCAGAGGCAGCAGGTGGGGGCAGGTTGCTCAGGGCCAGCACAGCAGCAGTGACCTCGATGGGAACAATTGTTCTACCCCAGGTAGGGATGATTTCCTTTTCTCAGGAGAGAAAAAACACTCAGCCTGAAAACCAAACCTCCCAAATATTTGCAGTGTTTCACGTCCCAGCAGACTTTAATGCCACCCAGAATCTCTGCCCTGGAGTCCTGTGGTCTTCTGCCATAGGATGGCAACTGAGATACAACAGCAAATCCCAAAGAAGGTAAGTCTTCCACCCCTACAGTGCCCGCCATTTCACACTAGAGACTTGTGGGATGGCACCTTACACTCAGGGGTACAGTAATATTGTGAAATACTTGCAGTTGTATCAAAGAATCGAGCAGTGTTGTTAAAGTCTAGAGCACTGAGGAGGCCTGCAAAGATGGGCCAAACAAACAATTGTTGAAATAGATGTGTTCTCCTGCATTCCTTCTTGTCCGGAGGAAAGTCTGTTGGTGGCCCTGAGATGGACTCAGTTGGTTACAGCATGGCTTAAATGTCTCTACTAACTTCAGGCTGTAGATTTGTTGCACAGTCCAGGCAGCTTGCCTCCTGAAACAATCAAGGTCCTGCACAAGCATGAGTTTCTGAGCTTAGGGGTAAAATAATGTATTTAAGGGAGAATATGTGGTAGGCAGCTCGGGAAGGCTGTACCTTCCTGGTACCTCACCCAGGAGTTTAGGATAAAAGGAGGCTGTGCCCTCCAAAACGCCGAGAGAGAAAACTCCACGGGCATGTGCCTCACTGGACTCTCTCCCTTTATTAGAATAAAGTTGCAGGACTCCTGTGTCTCCTTCTTGTACATAAACCTCTAACGTTTGTGGATTTTCCTGCCAATGCCACTTTCCCTCCCTGGCTTAAGAAACAGATGAAAAAGCCATGCTGAAGTCCAGACAGTTCTCTAAATGCATGGATTTGCATCTCTGCAAGTAAGAGGTAGTACAAATCTCAAGGGGAGACCACCAGCTGCAACTGCTTACCACTGCAATGGGCAGTGACAATTAAAATAATGCAGACTGTAGCACTGTCATACTTTTAAAGGCTCTGCAGAAGATGCTGCTCAAGGGTGTTAACAGGGGTCTTATGAAATCACAGCATATTCTGAGTTAGGAGGGACCCAGAAGGATGATCAAAGTTTAACTCTTAGGTGAATGGCCCTTACTGGGATCAAACCCACAGCCTTTAAGCAGAATCAGATGAGCTAAACCACACTGAAGGACAGTAACTGGGGTGGGCAGCCTGCCTTGAGTACATAGGTCTTAAAAGATGGTTTGTGCAAGGAGATGGGCTATACATTTCTTGGCCTTTCAAACAGATTTTCTTGCAGAAGTCGTCAGGGCTTCTAAAACTTGCAGCATTTTGTTCTGTTCTCCTGCTGTTGCTAGCACCAATTCAAGTCCTTTCCTGTCTGCAACAGAGAAAGGACTGGTTCAGAGTCACTGCTAGTGCTCGAGATAAGGTTATAAAGGAAAAAAAAAAGGAAAGGAAAAGTCTTGCCATTGTCCCAGCTTAGTGTGGGGCTGCCTCTGTAGGAAATGAGTTAGATGGGAGTGCTACTTAGCAGGGGAAAATGGCACTGGCAGAACTTGTCTGTTTAACCTAAGTGGTGAAGTGTCCCTTGAGAGAGGTACTGCCAGCAATGACAGATGGCTTGAAAGCAAAGAGATGTGGATTGCTGGAAGGGAATTTACTAGCAAATGTAAACAGGCATGTTCCAGACCTAGAAATGAAAAAGGAAGGTGAGCATCAAGCCCCAGATCAAGCATCTCCTTGGTAAGGTATGGAGGCTCCTGTCAAGTGTTTGTGAGAGCTCTCTGGAATGCTAGTCAGAGGTTTTGCTGCCTCATCAGCAATGATGCTGAGGTCACTGTGGGTTTACCCCCAGCCAAGAGTGGCTGTTGGTGGGGGTGATGTGGTACACTCAGGTGTCTTCTGAGAAAGCCAGCTCAGCAGCTCCAGGTGACAATTCTTAGGCCATAAAGCCCGCAAAAGTTTGAAGTCTTCAGCTTGATAAAACTTTAATCAAAACAGCTGCTGTCATAAGTCTGTCTCCCTCTCCTTCAGAAAGACAGTGAAATCAAGTTGAACTATTGATTTCCACAGGGTTTTAAAAACCCAGGATACCTAAATGTCTGCTCTCAGACTCAGTCTCTGGCTACACTACAAAACAGAATATGGTCTCCCTATCCAATGTGAAATACTTTAAAGTAGCAAATAACCCTGAACTGCTTTATCTGCTACTGATGCTGGGCTCCATACAAGGCCAATCCCTCTCATCGTGGTGCAGTGCCAGAAGTGGACCAGGCAGAACTGCTGGGTGCCCTGTCACACTCACAGTGATGAAAATTGTTGTGGCTGACACCAGCTGCCAGCACTGAATTTGACTCAAGGTTACAGCTACATGCTTCAGCTTCAGGGCACATTGCTGGTTGGAGGTCACTTTTTAAGTCCAAGTAAGTGATGATGTGCTAGTAGGAACAGAAGAGGGGCATAAGACAGGATGTAAAAGGGACTGAACAAGTCCAGCACAGCAGTGGTACAACAGGGTAGTACTGTTAAGGGAAAATAACATGCAAATCTGAAGAAAACTCACACATGTGTGAAATTCATTTAGACCCTTGTTTGCTGCTTAGTTGATGAGGTTTAACTAATTTTAAGTGATGTAATTCACTTTGGTTTTAAATTGGAGTTTCTGCCGAAGTAGTTTAGTCAATCAAATTTAATTCTGTGCATTTTGCAAACTTGATTGATTCCTCAGAGCAATTTATGTGACTCCAGGGAACCTAGTCCAGCTTTGTACACATGCAAATGAGGCAAGGCTTCAGCTAAATGTTAAAGTTTTCAGAGGACATAGAGAGATAGTAGTACAGTGAAGGTTGGTATAATTTCCCACAAATAACCAGACATGAAACTACTGGAGCCACATATTACTGTAACACAGAGAGGGTTCTTACTGGAGGCATCTCTGAAAGAAGTACACCAGCATCCTGACCATGCAAGGAGTTTGGTTGACCTGTGGTTGGCTGGTGTCAGCCAGAACAAACTTCTCCTGCAGTTAACCTGCTTTTAACGGTATCTTCCCTTTCAAAAACTCAGAATACCATTGACATCTAGTGGTGAAATCCTGTACCCAGAGAGACAGTTTATTGCACCAAAACCGCTGGCATGACCTTGAGGGACTGCAGGACATAATGCAGCAGTGAGAGGCTCCTCTGTCATCTCTGTGGTCCACTGACCCAATTTTATTAGATTTGTTGACTCAAATTCCCATTTAAGTGGACTGATGGGATTATCTGTTCAGCTTTTTTTGTGCATGTTATACCCTGGGTTTAACTTTCAGGCTTTATGATGATAGTGCACATTCGCTTAGGACAGATGCTGATGGCAATAAAGACTGCTGCCTTCTCATCTGTCAGTAGTCCCAGGAGTCAGCATCTCATCCAAAGCTGTTGGCTGTAGTGAGAGCATTTGGTCCGGGGCAGCTTCTCCAAACATGCTGCAAAGTTGTCTGTGTTTGACAAAAGCAAGCAAATCCCCAGCCTGCAGGGTTAATGGCGTGAGGCTGAACTCACTGTTTAGCCAAAGGATGGGTTTTGTGAGCCCAGGGAGTGGGTTTTCTTCTGGAGGTGCTGTT